GTGTGTGTGTGTGTGTGTGTGTGTGTGTGTGCGTGCGTATTTGAATTGATGTATTTGAGTTATTACCCTGAAAAGGCCAAACAAGAGTAATTTCAATTTATATCAGATTTTCGAAGTACAAGCCTGCCATTTGTATACAAACATTTATTCTGTGAATGAGACTTTGTTGAATCAGTTAAAACATTTCCGTAATACTTCCTACAGCACAGTGAAGTTATTTCTCTAATTCTTCCAATGTTTCTATAGGATTTTGATAAATAAATTCTTTTAAATAATCCCAGAGAAAATAATCTAGAGGGTTCAATCAGAAAATCTTGCTGGCCATGCGATAGATCCATCTCTATCAATCCAAGAATTTTGAAATTGTGTATACTGTTGTGAGATAGTGCTCCATCATGTTGAAACCAAATATTTTGGCGAATATTCAACGGCAAATCCTCCAAAAGATCTGGCAAATTATCGTAAAAAATCTCGTAAAAAATCAATGTAATCGTTACCCCTCATTCTGTTTGAAAGTACACATGGTCCAATTATTTGATCTCCTATAATTCCGGCCCAAACATTTAACTTCCATTGAACTTGGAAGCTTCTTTCTCTGATTACGAAGAGATTTTCTTCTGACCAATAATGCAAATTATGTGCATTAAATAATCTCTCTCGAGTAAACAAAGACTCGTCGGATAATAAATTCGGGTACAGAATGTATTGTCTCTGTTATTGTGAATTAAATATGTAAAGGATTTGTGAAAAGGAAGAAATTGTCCTAAAAATCGAAGAAAATCCAAGAAGAAGTATTCGTTCCATATCTAATCAAATGAAGATATTATACTCAAAAGTCCAGCGCATTTTAAGAGATGAAGGTATGCATTCATACTATTTTACTTATCAGTACATCTTCGAGAAGGCGACGCTGAATGTTGTCTGGAATTTAATTTTCGTCGGTAGTTATTGCTTCACAACAACATTTTATTCTCCGAGTCTTTGTTTACGAGAGGGAATGCACATAATTTATATTATTGGGCAGAAAAAAATCCTTTCGTAATCAGAGAAAGAAGTTTTCAAGTTCGATGGAAGTTAAATATTTAGGTCGGAATTATAGGAGATCAAATAATTGGACCATGTGTACTTTCAAACAGAATGAGGGGTGACGATTACATTGATTTTTTACGAGATTTTTTACGATAATTTGCCAGATCTTTTGGAGGATTTGCCGTTGAATATTCGCCAAAATATTTGGTGAACCCTCTGAATCCTCTCGATTATTTTCTCTGGAGTTATTTAAAAGAATTTATTTATCAAAATCCTATAGAAACATTGGAAGAATTAGAGAAATAACTTCACTGTACTGTAGGAAGTATTACGGAAATGCTTCAATTGACTCAACGAAGTCTCATTCACAGAATAAATGTT